CTTCATAAATTTTTTCATCATCTCAACAGAAAAGGAAAAATATCACGCTTCAGGAAGAATAAAAACAATTTCCCATTTTACATAAAAAGAAATAACAAAAAATATGAAGTTAAGTCGATAAATAAATAAATAAAACACATAAAACAAAAATTTTCAGGCTTTTAATACGTTATAACAGTAGCAACAACAGCATTAATAATTAAAATACTGCCATTAAGTTAACAGTATTTTTTAGTCTGATTTTGTGGAGAATCAAATTTTTTTGAACTGCCAAACGAAAGAATTAGCTCAAAGAGAACAAGTAACCATAGCTGTCCAGATATTTTATGCCTTACTGTTCCACCTTCCAAGCACTTTTAAAACCAATTTCGTCAACAAAAACTTTCCATATAACTCTGAAATCGAACTAAGAAATTTTATGCGAGATATGAGAAGTGTTCAATGAAGCAGAAAATCATTAACGTCACTGTTGGATGACAACGGATGAAAATGACAGATTTTCCGTCCACCATCGTCCTTCCACTAAAAGCCGATATAAAGGTGCAGACGACGCAGAATGAAAGTAAAAAGCCAAAGGTCAGACGAGTAGCCAAAAACACTACTGGGCCGACACCGACAACGGACAACACCATTATCATCACCAACACCTACCGCCCCAGCACAGCAACCCTAGCAAACGGCCAAGCGGCTATCAGCCCTTTCTGGCGTTAGTCAACAGCAGCGGCGGCGGTAGCGGCGGCGACTACACGACCTTCCCGCACCACTCATAAAGCAATCCAGCCTTCCTTTCCTGCACCACTACCTTCTTATTCCTCCTCATCTTCCGGCACCACTCCCTTCTCATTTTTCCTCTTTCCTGAACCATCATCCATGTGCTCTTCCTTCTCCCAGTCATCGTAAAAACAGCAATATTATGTCACGTAAAACCCTCCTGCAGTATCGCAACAGGCACCTGGTCTGAAAGGTGTCAATGCTGCTGTTAGAAAATCATTTCAAGTTTTTTTAGGTGCATCTGAGATAAGTGCAATCCGCAGTGAACAGTGCTATTCAATTGCAGTAAACCCCACTCATAAAAAATCATTTTTTTCAAAAACGGTCAACAGGGCTCAATTGACAGAAAACAAAAGAATCGTAAGGAAAAAATATTATGATTACTTTTTTGCTTTTTTTCTGTAATCTTTTTTCTTCCCATCAACCCTGCAATGGTAAATTATAATTCAAGAAAGAAAAAATGTTTCAAATCATTCCTGCATTCAAAACAGAAAAAGTGAAAAGACTGAGTTAGCGGTACATAAACTGCATGAAGAGAGAAACGGAGGTTTTTGAGTAGGAGAAAGCAACTACAGTACTTTCGTGATCGCAAATTACTGAATACTGCGGGTAAATATTGAACAAAAAGATGAATAAGCACAAATATAGGTATAATTATAAATATATAAATATAAATATAAATGTATAAATACAAATATAATTGTTTAAATATAAATGTATAAAAATAAATGTATAAATATAAATATACAAATATAATATGATTTAGCAGATGAAGAAATGAAAAAATAATCAGGATTACGAGTAAATGAACAAGCGTAAATAAATAAAAATAGATATATGAATAAATGCATGTATAAATGCACAATAATTTATTTATTTATTTTTTACATAGATTGACGAAATATTTTTTATTTCACCAAGCCATACTCCAAAACTATTTCATCATTTCAAATGAACCACTTTTTGAACAATTAGTTCAAAAAAAGTAGGATTTAAAGGTTCAAAAAATGAAAAATCAATACGAAACGGAGCCCCATTTCAATTTACCTCTTTAACACCTTAAGAAAATATCTAATATAGCAATTTTGGAAAACCTCGGTAAAAAGCTGTAGAACTTCGTGCTTTGGGCACCCTCAAAGTCGTGTATCAAAAGCGGGCAAGCATAAAGGAGTATTAGCTTACCAGTCAAATAAAAGAACTGGAATGCCATAAGAGGATCAAAAAGTCTAGCTATACAGGATCGTAGGTCAATGATTAAGACTAAACTTCTAAGAGGTCGAAAAGAAAATGAACTTTTTCCTTTTCAACAACATAACAAAGTCTAAATGATGGATCGCTGTTTCAATGTTCCGTCGACAAAAATTATAATAAATCCATCTTTGACAACTTTCCAATTTTCCTAGAGGACTGGAAGGAAACGTTTGCTAAAAACCAATTTGTAACCAAATGATTACACATCTAGACATTAAACTGCTCAGCAAACGAAGCAAAAAAAAAGCATCTAATGTTCCTGTAAAGGATCGGATTGGTATAACAAATCCGAAAACAACCGATTATCATAAAATTTTGCTGTTCTCCTTAAGAATGATCGACAGCGATTAAGACTTGAATAAATTTTGAACAAAAAGATTATGTTTAAAAACATGGAAAAAAGATTAAGTTGAAACCTTCAACTGCTATGCCGCAGCAAATTGACCGGCAACAACCGATGATGCCCATCCATGAATAACTAATAAGACCCCCTCTCTCCCTACTCTAACTCTCTTTCGTATATTCAATTCGTTCATCCTACTATGCAGTTTTCAAAGTCCATGCTTCAGCCATCTAAATGAGTGGTTGAAAACCAAAATTTGCAAGAGCTTCAGGATCCAAACTAAGTGGTTACTCAGAAATCTTTTGAATTTACTAGCAGTAAACTGATCTAATAAATGAGACTTTTGAACTACAAACTAGAATTGTTTACCTGCAATTGCTTGCAAGAAAAGAGAGAAAAGTAATAGAGGTTTAAAAATAGATGTACAATATTTATATATAGATTATATTTCAACTCTGACAGCTCCTAGTTGATACAACTGATACAAGCACATACTCACAACATAGCACAAGAACAACTATCCAGCTACAATGCCTCATATAGAATTCTTGTACTTTAAACAGCGGCGTAACCAAAAATAAAATAAACAGATATGAAGGTAAGATAAACAAAAAATTAGCCGCTGTTCAAATGCCTTCTAAAGCCTTGTAACAGTCAGCATCGCCAAAAAATCAAAAGCAAATTTTATTCAACATTTGAAGCGAAAAAAAAAAAAGAATTCTCGATAAAACTTTACGCTCCAAACATTTTGCGTATGTTATAGTTCAAACAAAATTAAATCAACGTTTTTGACTAAATCAAACCACAAAAACTTCATTAATCAACCTCAAGCTATAACTTTTTTTTTTTTTTTAATAGAAAGCTAATCAAAAGCGAATGAGACATCAAGCAGCAAACTACAATTACGATCACCAAATACTCTGAAAACACTTCTTTTGAACCAACAGTTCAAAAAAGTTTACCGCTTAATATATTAAAAATGAAGATAAAAGTGCTAGTAAAAATAAACAATACGTAAGTGCTTTAACAAATATAAACAAAAATATATCCGCAATTTTTCTGATCAAAAACCAAATTAATAGCATAACAGCAATGAATAAATATATATATATATAATTATTTATTATTTATCCACTCAATTACCTCAAAAAAAGTAACAATCATGAATAATACATAGACTTTTTAACTGAAAATTTGTAGTTTACAACTGCAAGTCAACTGATAAAAAGTTGTTAAAAATAAAAAAAAAATAAGTGATTGAAGAATCATTTGGAATAACCATTCGAAAGCAACAACCAGATAATATAAACCCCAGTTTCAAAAATCTGTATGTCAATGCACCTATTTGAAGAAGATTAACTGAAGGAACTGAGATATTAAGTTGAGCCTAGATGCGTTACCAATAAATCCCATTACCAATAAATTTTGTTGAGAACACTTAAAGAGATATGCCCAGTCCGATATCTCTTCCGTTTTCTTTCCAGTCTTGTCTTTGAAAGCCATTGTCAGATAAAAGCAAAGCCAGGCTTTTTTAAAGTCTTCCCACGATCCCATGAATATAATAAACTCGGTGAAAATTAAGGCAACGAAGACCCCCCTAACAGGAAGCTCCAAAAATAGTTCATATATTTGAAAAACAGATAAATAAACAGACAAAAAAATTCGAATAATCAAAAATCTCCAACATCCCACAGATATATATGCTTTGTGTAATCCATTAAAGTTCGTCTGCTTAATTCTTCCAAGACAGTAATTCTTGTCCGGTGATAGAAAACGCCAAGAAAAAAAAAAAAAAACGATAGAAACTTTGAGAATGCTAAGGTGTAGTGATGAATGCCAATGAAGTGACAAATTCTTTCGATAATGTATAAACAATATGTAATTTTAGGTTGGTTCCGAAAATTGCACTGAAGTTCTAGCCTTAACAAAGTTGAAAATAATTATGAAAGCATTGACGACTAAGGAAAAAACGTAATCCAGTAAAGTGCGATGACAATATTCCTTTTTTCAAATTAGGGAATATAGCCAAAAAAGATCTTAAAACAAGAGTTTCTAAGAGTACGACTCTAATTTTAAACAATGAGACAAGTTAAGCTGCGAAAAAGTAAACAGGAAGTCTGCAAGGTAAAATAAAATGTTAACTTTTCAGCACCCACCAAAGAGACTTTCAAAGAAAATGTTCGTTTATATTTTCTCCCTTTTCTCTTTACACTCTCAAGTAGTAGACGTTAAGTGAAATGTACGAATAATTTAAGCGACAAATTTGAATCTTATGAAGCATGTAAATTGATGTAAATTTCAAAGATATTATAAGCTTCCAATGACACTCCATTTTTCCTCACTTATTCCAGCTGACAATGTAATTCAAGCTTCATTTCAAAAGAAGTGAACAGGCAAATAAAACTGAAAGCAGAAAAAAAAAGCTGGAAGCAGATGCGGATTAAAGCAACGTTTACCTACCATTTAGCTAGATTGATGAAGCCCTAACAAAAGCTGGATATTAATTATTCAAACAGTGTTTTGCCACATTTTTACCCACTGCTAGTAACTCGAATTTAGCCTGTATCTATTTATTTTTCATTAAAGAGGGCAGCTAAAAAAGACTAACTTGCTGTAGTCAATTAAGATGTTTATTTTAAATAACGGTTACACATCCGCCACCATCCACAAAAAGCAAATACATTAATTTGCTCTCTCCTCTTTCCTCCCTTTCTAAAAGACTCCCTGCGTAACTGCCTCCTAAACCACCAAAATTGTGACACGAAAACTGATCCAAATGCAAAACGGTTCACGAAAAAAAGGGGCAACAAAAAACTCTTCTTTTCTGACTATAATGTATAAAGTATTAACTTTTTCTTTCAGTGCAGCCCTACAAGCAACCTACCCGTCAATGACGTTCCTCGATAGACACTTTCAGAACCATCAGTCTTTCTCATCTTGCTACCCTCGTATTTGACTTCAACAACAACAGCTGTGCCAGTTAAAGATCTTGAAGAGATTAGGTACTATAAAAAATATCCATTTATTTCTCTGAAAAGCCTAGATCAATCACTGTCTAAATTGAGACCTACTGCTTCTCATTCTTAGAAAACTGCTGCTCTCCTTAAGTAGAAATATTCTTAGTGATCTTAGTCGAGACTATAAAACTGTAACAGCCTATGCATCAGCAACTATTGCCTTAGAAACCCCATCGAGGTCGACATATAGTAATATCCTGAGCACAATGACCGCCTTGTCGGTTCGTGGATTTTTGACATTCTTATGAGGTGACATCGATCACCAGGTCCAATAACAACAGATAACAAGTTGAAACATAATTATTACCAATTAATGCATTCTAACCATCAGTTCATCCATACTTCTTTAACTCAACTCCCTCGTTGGTAACCTAATTAGCAGCAATCAAATAAAGTTTAAAATTTTTTCAAAAGATACATAGTTTCTGTAGAGAAACTGATGGCTTCTCCACTACTGCCAACAGCAGCAAAATCCAAGGGCGATTTTAGCTGTAAAAAGTACGATGCTGCAAAGTGTCGATGAAGGTTTATAGCAACACCGCAACACATGCGATTACTGATGCCTGTGTTCAAATGTTCACTGTGTATAAAGAACAAATTGCAGTGCAAAAAAAAAGTTGCTCAGCACCACTTATCCTAACAATTTGAAAAATCTCATCAGAACCAAGTAAACAAAAACCAATTCAAAAAATAAAAATTTATCAAAATTTGTACACCGATTGACCAAAAAACTGTTTTTTTTTTTCCATATTTTAAGAACATGAAATATGATCAAATCGATGATGACGATATTGGTTGCAGTGACTCGACCAATAATAAATAACCAGAAGTCATTCTTGAAATGACTTCGCTGAACGCCACCCCAAGTGTAGCTCATTGAATCCGAAACCATTATTTGTTACTCTATGGACAAGTTATATTCAGTATCCTTCAGTGCTAATCCCTCTTTGAAACTCTCGTACTCTCGTAGAAGGTAGCTGGGCGAAGGTTGCATTTACTGGTTATGTTATACAAAATTCTACTTCTTTTCTTCAAAGAAAAAAAAAAAAAGGTAAAAAAAATAAAAACAGCTAAAACCACCAGAAAAGAAAAATAATAAAAGTGAACAAAATCTAAGGTTGCTCATCCCAGCTTTTCAAGTGAATGATAAAAAAAGCTTTAAATGTCTAGTATCAATTGCTAGTATAATGACAAACAGATTCTTTACTGTAATTCTACTCGTTCAAATTTCTAACTCGTTTAAAAAGCTAGACCCCTTCTGTCTAAACGGCTCTTTGTCATACTACATGTGAACTAGCAAACTCTAAAAGTTCTTGAGAAGGAGCTTAATTTTAGTTAATTCAATAAAATAATGCATCAATTTCCAAAAAATTGTTATTATTATTATTATTATTATTATTATTATTATTAATATTATTATTATTATTATTATTATTATTATTATTATTTTTCCTATTATTATTATTATTGTTCCTATTATTATCATTATACTGTTGTTATTGTTATTGTTGTTATTATTGATATTATTATTCTTCTATGTTTACTCACCTTATTACCTCCATCACTATTATTATTGCCAACATTAACGTTAACCTTAACACCAATATTTTTATTATTACCGCTATCACCATTTTTTCACCATCATTAGCATAATCGTGAAGTTATGAATAACACATCACAGGTTTTGGTATTTTCTCAAAAGTTATCTTTTCAAAAATCTAAAACGTTGAAGAACAGTTTAAACAGATAAGGAATATAACCAGCAAGAAAGCATTAATTCCATAGCAAATAGCTCGGTCTGTGTTACGTATTGGCCAGTTGGTCGTTTACTCCCAATAGCTAAACGGTAAATAAAGGGGAAAAAAGTTGGAAAATCCCTTACTAGAAATTACGATAAAGCAAAGTTCTTCTCATGAAAAAAAAAAAAAAGAAACAGTGAATGAAACAAAACCAAAATGGAATATGCGCCAATGGGAGGGCAAAACAAATGTTGACGACTGTTGTCGGGTGTATGTCGAGATAACCATCCCTCTGTCCCTCTCTCTGTCCTCCTCTCTCTCTAGTTGCCTGTCTTTCCGTGCCTTCTGCCCTTGTGCCTTGCGCCCGGTTATAAAGACGTTCTGTATATACGCATGTGTACAACGCAACAGTAAGAGTAGCAGAAAAAGCGCCAAAAAATTGACACGTTGCCAACTCCCTTGCAGGAAAATGACTTTTCAATTTTTTTTTCCGTATCGCCTGCATCTCCGACTGGTGGTGGGTGCAAAATCAACACACCCTTGAGGGGACTTAAACGAAATGTTTTCCGTGCTACTTTTTAAAGCGCACCAGTTCCCTTGAAGCATATTTGGTAGGAAATTATAAATTCTCATCCTGTGCTGTTTGTTGTTTGATATGTATGCTGGTTGTGGCGCCCTCAGTCAGTAAAAAATTCTTTGTTCCCTCAATTTCGAGAGGAGACAGACGGGAAGAAGACTATGTTGTGGGAAAGCAGTAATGTTGGGAAAGAGTCTAGAAAAGGGAAAAAATTGAGGCTAAACTTTAATTTTCAAGGTTTTCGGCAACAATGTAACATCGTTAAACTGTGAAACTCAAATTTGTTTTTTAACAGTAGGTTCTTCGCACGTAACACCTTACATAGTTACAGAAGACGCTTACGATGTTAGCCTGTTAAAAATAATTTAGTTTTCCATTCAATCCATTTCCACCACTTTGAAACAAAGTACAAAATAGTTGTATGTTAATAGGTGATGCGTGTGCATGGTTCTTTTGCTGACTGTGGGTTGAGCTTTAGGCGCGTCCGTTTAGATTCGCAAAATTTCATAATTTTTTAACTTTGATATTCTTGTACAACAAAAATAAAAGATAAAAAAATAAAGAATGAAAATCAAACACAGAAGAACTGAAAAGTGGACCTGCAAACTTCTGCGGCAAAAAGCACTATCAGTTAAGCTTAAACTCGAGTGACGTAAGCAAGCCTTTGGGGTAATTCAAAGTAACGAACCACTCGAACTTCAAATACTTATTCGGAAATCAGAAATGTTATCCAACCATTGCGGAATTCATTACCAAATTGGTGTCAAGACAAATTTGCGGCTTGGACTGCATTCAAGGCTGCTGGCGCAGTGCTGAAGTGTTATTTGAGCAGTAGGCGATTTCTACCAAGGTGAGCTTTGTTCTGAAGTAGAAATGAGCATGATCTTCAGACGGTCGGGAAGCTCATTTTATGCAGTCCTTAGTGCAGACATTGTAGCAACCATCGACATCACACACTGTACACTTATTGTCAGGCAACATTGTTATGTGCCGTCTGGATTATGATATATAGTTTCAGCCTCCTTTAACGCCATTCTCCATTAAAATTTTTCTACAAACTCCCCGACGACGTATATCATGCTGTTTATCAGTACCTTCTCCATTTGTCTTTCCATACTCCTGCTTTACGGACCTCTTTTTTGGAGAAATTTTGGCGGAAATTTGAGGAGGTCCTTGCCTTTAACACCGACTTTTATACCAAATTACTGCAATGACTTTGCTAAATACCCACGACTTTTTAGTTTTTTGCTACTGCAGTCAAAGTGATCAACGGGTCAAAAACCTGTGAAGAGTGCAGAGAATGAACTTTAAAATTTGATAGGCTAATAGATTTGATCGGGCAGACAAAAAAACTGGCTTTTAGTAATAATTTTGTTGGAATACCAAAGTGATATTGGTGATAAATCATGAAAAATTTTGAACGTTTTTCTATTCCACTTTGTTTGATTTTATTTAGTTTTATTTTACTTTATTTATTTTCTTTTTTGTACGAGAGCAGGAAAAGAACGGGAAACTAGTTGCTAGAAAAGAAGTTGTTTTGAAGGGTGCAGAAGATGACATTTTTTGAGGGCATAAGGTATGCTTTGAAAGCTCCAAATTTATGAGCTTCTTTAACCGCAAAATTTTTTTTGACTGTATGGTGAAACTTAAAAATGTACGCCATGTTCCGATTGCTCTGGAACAAGTTGTCCATCTTGACTGCCATTTTGACGGGGCTCGAAGACATAAAGTGGTGTTAAATATTCAACTAATTTGACTTCTTTACCGTATATCCTGCAAAATGTTGAATCAAAAAAATTAAGTGTTGTAAACTTATCTCTAAAGTTTTCAAGATTTTAGTGATTATATTAGGTGTGATAAAATACCAAGGGTAATAAAACGTAGAGAAAACTCTTGATTTTTGCCAGGCCGCCTAATATTTTTAATATAAGAACTCTGTTCTGAAGTTGCATTAATTGCTTTGCAGCTCTACCACAAAAACTGCATACAATTAAGTTTCTAGTTTCAGGTAGTAGTAGCTCGTATAATTGACATTGCACGCATGCATAAAATGCTGCAGTTCGAAAACGAATTATAGGGCAAGTACAACTTCACTGTGCCTTCCTTTGAAAGCATGAGAAGCTGCTTTTATTTGAAATTAAGTTGTATTCTAGTGCTGAAGAATGGAGACAGAACTGCTGTAAACTTCTTCCAATTCTTACTTAAATGCATACCTGCTTTAAGGTGCAAATCTAAGCACGAATTAGATAGAATAAAACTTGATTTAAAGGCCATTGTTCTGAGAGTTCCAGCTAAATTTTTAGTAAAATAGTTATGTGGAAGATTAGGAAGAGTTAAGTTAAGTTTTATTTTTCCTCTTTTAATACAGTATATTTTACCGAAAATTGCAAGAAAAGTAGGTGATGGGACCGTTAGATAACAAGAAGCACAGTCATACGTCATCAAGTGTGTGTAGGTTCTATCTATCCTGAAATGATCATGTAACTCTTTAAATGTAGCTATTTTCTCGTACAGTACTGCTGTGAATAAAAGGTTCAAACTTAGATCGTGCTTTATTGCATGTTGGAGGGTTACGGAAAGGATATAGTACGGATCACAAATATGTACATAATGTTGTATTAATAGGTAGATTAACATTTGTAATTTGTAGAGTATCTGTTAATTGTGTGGTATTTGTAAAGAGTAGACCTAAGCTGAGCACTAAATGGGAAGTGATTGATTAACCATGTCCATAATTAGCCCATGATAGTGTTAAGGTAGTGAAGGTAGTAAACTGAAGTACAACTAAATCGTTCACCTTAAAAAATGACCTTACAGACCTTCAACAGACTACTTTTAAAACTGCAAAATACAAAAAGTAGATAAGCAACGTGCGAAATAAAACTATTTATAGGAAGAAGTTAGGAAAAGAGTAGTGGATGAAGTCAGGAGACTGTATCG